AATTTTACATTTCCTTAAATTCAAGCAATTCCTCGAGCAAATTTCCTCCCGACAATTAAATGGGACTGTGGACTGTCTAAGACCATTATCAGCCGTGCAGAATCATGAAGTTTGATATGTCGCACGAAGGATTTTGGTTCTTGTCGATAATTGAAAATATACCCGGGAACACCGGAACATGCCAGGGAGGGCCAACGGGATCGTGGGCTCTCAAAAAGACCATTACTGGCCGAGTTCAGCAGAATCATAAAGTTTGATATGTCGCATGACGTGTTTTGGTTCTTGTGGAGAATCGGTCACTTGCCCGGGGACACAGGAACATGCCCGAGAGGGCTAGTTTGACCGTCGAGTCTCATTAAGGCCATTACCAGCCAAAATTTGGAAATCATGAATTTTGATATGTCGCACGATGGGTTTCGTTCTTGTTGATAATTGGCCACTTCCCTGGGGGCACCGGAACATTCCCGGAAGGGCTAGTGTGACCATGGACTTTCAATAAGGCCATTACTGGCCAAGATTTGTAAAATCATGTTGTTTGATATGCCGCATGATGGGTTTTGGTTCTTGTTGAGAATTGGCCACTTCCCCGGGGGCACCGGAACATGTCTGGGAGGGCTAGTGTGATCATGAACTCTCAATAAGGCCATTACTGGCCAAGATTTGTAAAATCATGAAGTTTGATATGTCGCATGATGGGTTTTGGTTCTTGTTGAGAATTGGTCACTTCCCCGGGGCACCGGAACATTTTCGGGATGCCCAATGTGATTGTGAACCATCGAAATAGCTGCCACTGGTCCAATTACGTCGTTTGAGAGAAAAAAAACATGATGTTCATCGTGTGTATACTTATTACAGAACAATAAAGCCGAATGCCGACCAAAAACGACCCCAACGGGAACCGAAATAACTCCGGAACCATGAATTGATCAAAATATTTTCAGATGTATTCAGAAACTTCAATAGATTCAAGACAAAATTCAATTTGTTGTAAAGACAAATATTGAGAAATTATGTTTTTATAGCTAATTGAATTTTAAAAACTTAGCAAATTTAGACGTTAGGCACGCAAAGGTTAACATAATTTTCTATTGTAATTCTGTTTTCGTTCGCATCCTCCAAATTAAATTCGTTATTTCTAAGGTTGAACCAGGTAGCACAAACAAACATTCCTTTCATTGTCGCATTCTCCGGTGCTTTTACAGGGGCGTGATCCAGGATATAGTTCTTTGCCCTGCCAACACCTCGGCAGTATTGAAATCCGACTACATGTCCAATCACGAACCGATCGTTGTATGTGAATTGGCACCAACTGAAATTATCCTTAACGTAGCAAAAGGGCCTGTGAAATTTTTGTTTCACGGGCCAATAACGAAAGGGTCTAACGGTACGCTGGGGGAAATTTAAGTACATTTCTCGTTGTACATTAATGGAGTTAATGTACTTAATTTATGCGACTTGTAATTAAAGCTGAAATTTGTACTTAAAAGTAATTAAATCAAAAAATTTCAGACGCTCGTAATTAAAGTAATTAATCATGTAGTTAACTGTAATTATTGTACTTAAAAAAGGCTTGCGTAGGAGTTAAAGGTTATTGCGTGCCCCTCGCGGACGACCAATACACAGCATTTAAAATGTAATATTCAATACATTCCTGACGTTGCTGAATATTACGATAGCATCAGATTGCGGGGTTGCTAGTGTTTTATAATGCTTTGTTGATTATTAACGAACTCTTGATTGTTGGGAATGCTTCTGAATATTTGAGGTGGACAAAAGAGTGAACAAAGAGGTGAACGCCGAAGCTTTTTCAAATTTAAATGAAAAATGTTGAGGGAATTTGTATCTGTAACTGTAACCAGTTCGTTTTTGTTTGCTAATCTGGTTAAATGTTACACTTAATTATCTTAAAGATAAATCGTCCAGCTCAAATCTTTGTAGGGGTAAGCGGTGGAACCATCACCATCACCATCAATAAATTTTATTTCTGTATTCGTCAGATTAGTATGTGGGATGCATCATCTACTAAATTGACCTGAAACGAACTGGCACCACTGATAAGTTCAAAATGTACTGACTTGCTTGACGGTTCAGTGGCGCCACCATGACAAATGCGAGCACATTCCGAACTGAAACCTTATTTGTGAAGAATGTGATTGTGAGTGGTATGTCTGTTTGTCTGTGGTTATAATCTAATTTTTTCAGTTTTCTGCACACAACATATATCGCCATATGACCAACAATCAATACGAAACTAACGATTTAAAATTGGCTCACTACTTGACTAGCCTTTGGCACCGACAAACCGACATGAATGACCATTCAAAGTACCATCAAATTTCTGATCAAAGCACAAAACTGACATCTGCCGCCGTGTTCGCGAAAAATGTGTATCCTAGCCACGAACACGTATGCGAATGAGTTGGTTCGTGTCTAATCTATTCCGGGTAAATTATTTTTATCTAGATAACAAATTTCTATAGTTTAGACAGATGGGATCGTTGCACATTTGAATCCGCCGTTATGGATTGTCGATCAAGAGTTAAGTTTATGTTTCATGTCGGTTTGTCGGTGTTATTGGTCCCAAGCAAATCGATTAACGTACCCCATTCTAGTCAAACTAGTACTGCACAATGTTTGTTTTGATTCACTATGAAAGTTTTACAGATAAAATGAGGGGTTATTTGATTTTCGTATGTTCCGATGGGTGAATCGATTAACTTGGGACCGAAGATAGTACCAGAGCTGAGCCAAAAAGTTGAGCACGTTTCTTCGGGACCTACTAGTCTTAGAGTTACCTCTATGGTATGACCTCCCTGAGCTCAGTCGGTAAAGAAGCAGCTACAAAGCAAGACCATGCTGGAGGTGGCTGGGTTCGATTCCCGGGTCGGTCTAGACTTTTTCGGGTTGGAAAATTTCTCGACTGCCCTGGGCATAGAAGTATGATTGGACTTGCAACACAATTAAACCAATGCAAAAATGGTACAGACATCGAAAACTCTCAATTAATAACTGTGAAAGTGCATCTAGAACACTAAGTTGAGTGCACGCAATAAGCTTATTGCATATGCGATATGCTTATTACAGTAAAGAGTAGGAATAGAATTTATCTGCCTGTTTGTCTATATTCAGAACCACATGCCCCCAACGACCACACAAAATGCTCTCCAGAGTTGTAATCTTGTAACCAAACTTGGAAGCAGGGGTGCAAGTGATTTTGATCGATTCTCTTCATTAACTTTCTCCTTGAAAAAAAAAAAATACTACAAATTTGGTACGCCTACAAATCAAAAACGGAAAGAGTTAACATAATAGATGATCGATCAATTAAAAGAACTAAATTTTCTTCACATTTGTTCCGTGCCCTAGCGGTCCTACGTCAAGCTCCCGTTTGTGCCCCTAGGCACAGATCCTTCTACTTTTTTTTTACTATCGACATCTGGTGCGAAAAATCAACATGGTGTTAATCTATAGAAAATTCTATGATAAGATCAATTTGAATAACTCTCAAAAGGTGTGGGCACCGTACATATGTTTTGCTCTTTAAAGATCTTTCGGCGCAATGAATTAAGCATTTTCTAAATGGATATTTAATTGAATAAAACGCTAATATACATTCACGATTTCCTGCATTATCTGTTATCTTGGAAACTGAAAGAAGCACAGCATTGTGTGTAAATATTTCCTCTAACCATGTGCTCGAAGCGCGTCATAGAAAAGTGAAACCTTTTGTTTGTGTGACCATTTTCCGCTTCCTTCGGAACGTTAGTTTCCATGGAGAAGTAAAATGCTTGCGGTCGGTCAGTACAGCTTACATATGAGAGAGAGAACAGTTCTCTCTGCTTAGGCATCCGCGAGATTGCTGCCAGCAGTATGGAATAATGGTAATAATATTTCCCAGACGAACGGTAAATCAGTGAAACAGGTTTCTGTGCCAACGCTATTAGACTTGTTTCGGTGACGAGGACAACACTCATCTAAGGGCCCATTAATAAATTACATTACTCTAAAATTGGCATTTACGGCACCCACCCTCGTGACACTTTTGTAACATATTCAATTCAACCCATCACCCCTTACTGGAACGCGTAACGCTTTTATTTGATACCATTCCATTATGTAGAATTTTTCTCTATTCTTGTTAAAGGCACTTACTACAGTTACAATGTAAATAATCATAACTTAGTGAGGATAAAACAATCTAGTTTAAAACTGAGTTGTACCCACCACTTTTTCTTTTTTTAACCAATCGCTCTGATTTTCTACGAGTGACTAGTTCTCCGTTGACACTACTCACATGCACAAATTCAGGCCGATTGGTTAAAAACCCGCCGACAAAAAGCGGTGAGTAGCACGTTCTTCGGGGGATAGCTGGACCCACCAACCCGCTACACACTTAGAAAAAATCATGTAAATTTAGGTGCTTTCAGAGTGACATATACGAGCGTCAATTTTGACATAAATTTGAGTCATAACAGACGCAAAGTATAGCTCAATCAAACGTACTTTTCGTCGAACAATGATCTTTTCAGTCTCGGAGCACTTATTTTACATGAAATGTTTGTTTACGTCTCATATTTTATGTCAAAAACGGATTCCATCACGTGTAAAATTAGTTATTTCTAAGTGTGTACTTTGACTAACATTTTGTAAATCATTGATGAATACCCACCCACCCAGAGCGTTTCTTAGTTTATGAATGGACCCTAAATTTTGCGAGATCATCTGGTTGATGCTGCGACTGCGAGGGTTGTTTTTCCACTTCAAGCCGCCAAACTGAGAGAGGGTCGTGGAAAATTGCGGAGAGAATTTGAATTCGAGAGAGTAGCATGATAGTGACGAGAAGGAAAAGCTATACCAATACTACGAACGTATCGCTGGACGGACAACGTGGGTAGTAGCGTTCAATCTCAGCTATATTCTGGAGGATTGTCATCAGTGGCTTACACACGTACATGCAGGACCCAAAAGGCAACAACATCGCGACGCGATCCACGACCGTTCACTTTGGCGTCAGTTTAAGTTGGGCTGCCGTCGAGATTGAAAGCTTTCGCTCTTAGCTGAGTTTCGGTTCTTTTCGTTTGAGTTTCCTCAGTTTGTTCTTGAGTGGCAGAAACGCAATTTTCCAACCGACGACACTTGCTTGATGATCCACTCGCGTGATAGGCAGGATTTCGCGCGTTCTACTGTGCTATAACGGTTTTTTTTGGGAACTGACTGCGACACAAAAGAAATCATAATAAAACGCAAAATTTGGAAGTATCTAGCAGCAAAGTGTGTTTTTCTCATAAATTACAGATTCGAATCCATTTAGGAATTCTATCGGAAGCTTCCGTCAGTAAAATCTAATTGTGCAGTGAGTTGAAATTGACAAAGTTGATCAAGCAGAACACGTGAAAATGTAACTGTTGTGGTACATCAAAAAGCCATTTCGAAGAACAGTGATAAGAATTTGTCGTGAAGGAAGAGCAAGGGATATTGTATTTAATTGAAATGTCGCGCGAGTTTCCAGCCGCCGCTATTCTTGGCGCGCTGGTGAATGTTTAGTTGCTGTCTTTCCGAGGCTGTATAACGATTTCACCGGAATCACGGAGAGCAATAATACCGCGATAAGTTGGGAAAGTGGAAACGGCTCGTGATATCGTCTGTTGTGTGGTCGTTTTTTTCTTCTGTGGATAACGATTTCATTTGAAGCGTGGAAAATTTGTAAAAGGAAGCCATAATTTCTTAGCAGCAAAGGCAACAAGTGAAACGGAATCTTGATTGTAAGATATTTGTATGAATCATCTGTCTATGCTTAACAGTGTCAAGCGGAAAATTTGTTCAATTATTCAGGCTGTTTTCATCATATACCATATACCTACTCGATTCGATCCGGAGGGCTTCCAGAACGCCGAATAGCAATATTTGCGGGATATATTTTTACTATAGGTAAGTTGATGATGCTCGAATAAGTTGATGTATAAATAGGCCAATGTATCGACGATATTTTAACCTTAATTTGTCTATGTATTTGACGTGGGAAAAGTAGCCTTTAGATAATATCTGTTTTAACTGAAAGCACTTATTTGTCAACAATGTGTAACAATTAAAAGTGAAGAAAAATTAGGTGCATATCGATGTACTTTAAATGCATTATCAGTTGCATTGGCATATGGCATGCATTTTAGATAACAAATGCCGTTAACTAGATGAAAATTAATAATTTTTCAGTTACCAAATGCTTAGTGCAGCGTTTCTCAATATGTGGGTCGAGACCACACATTTTGTCTTCTTCAAGCCGATCCAATTCCAATCTGTTTTTTGTAAAGTATACACATACATATTAAATACATATGCAACATCTGTATTCAATATTGATGGGTTGGGAGTTTATTGAATTTCAAAATAAAAAATGGCAAATTGAAAAACGCTGGCTTAGTGTATTAATTTAATATCATATGAAAATAGGTTTGTTCCCGTACTTGATTTTTTGCTTTTGCAGTAAGAAAATAATACAGGAATACCCACTTTGCGTGATGGGTGGTGCCGTCTACCTACCGCCATTTCTCATAAATCTTTCAACCAATTGAGCTGATTTGTTGAATGTGATTAGGGCCAATTAGAAACTTTACACTCACAAAAAGTCATCTCAATTCGTTGAAAGACAGTTGAGAAATGGCGATGGGTAGATAGAACCCCTCCACCCGCGTAAATCTGGGAATCCTGCATTATTTTCTTACAGCAACTTACGGCAAAAGCAAAAAAGCAAATACGTAAACAAACCTAATGTATCTACCGTCGGTGAAATCACCTTATTACATAACCCAAATAATAATAATTAAAAGTTTAGCCAGTAAATGCGTACGATTGATTGCGGGTCCGATGAACACATTTTTCGGGTAGATTTTTTCGGTTTCTTTGGGGAAACAATATATGTAAGTACGAATAGACTTAGGCTTTGAATGCTCTCAATTAACAACTATGGAAATGCTCAGCGAACACTATGTTGAGGACAGGCATTAAGTTCCAGTCGGGACGTAAATACCTATATTCGTCTTGGACGAAAATAAAATAAGAAGTTTAGATCCTTCTTCTCCTTTGGCTTTATTACGTCGTAACTAGGAATTTTGGCCAGTTCTCCACTTAGTGCTCTTCCACAGTTCTACAGTTGTTCATTGAGAGATTTCGGAACCTGTACCATTTATGTATTAGAATTATTGTGTGACAATTACAATAATGCCATCTATAGGGAAGGTTATTAAACTTTTCAACCCGAAAAATTCCTTGACCGAACCGGGAATCGAACCCAGCCACCTCCAGTATGGTCTTGCTTTATAGCTGCGCCTTTTCCGACTGAGCTACATAACTATAACTATAATAAGATCACTTGATAGGCACATTTAACCATAGTTGGAACATTACCCTGTCAAATAAATGATTGAAATCCATATTACATTAGAGCTGTAGGTATCAGGTAATGCACTAGGCGTCTCCATCAGCTGGAGTGTATCAGCGAAGGTCCATGTCAAAAGAGTGTTTTTGTTAGCTTCTGCTAGTCTTTTCGTGCAAGATTAGTGTTCTAAATAAAACTTCAGTAAAATTAAATTACTTGCATTGTTTGGAATGTTCTGATAACTGATAAGAAATTTTTAACCATCCTCTTTATCATGTCCATTCAAAAGGTTAAGTATAAAGACACTGCCGATAATATTTCAATGTAATGAATAGATGCGCAGTTGCACAAAGAGCTACAGCAGTGGTTTTCAATATTTTTCGATCCATTACCCCACCCCCTATCAATTAAAACTCGCCCAATAAGGCTAGTATGGCTGCATTTCCTGCTGTGCTACAGTGATTTATTCAATTAAAACTCGCCACCTCCAGCGTGGCATGCTTTTGTCAATCAGGGGCTTCAATGGACTAGTACTGCCAGGTAAACTGACATTTGGTGACATCCTTTACATACGTCATGCTTCATGGAAGAAGGTTGGTTTTAGAATCTTAATACAATTACTATGTATGAGAAAATTGTGACAAAAGAAGGATACGTTCATAATTTTTGCGTAACATACTGAATGACTGCTAGCGTTATAATGTTTATCCAACTTCAAGATTTTACATAACTCGATTAATAGATACCATATTGAGCGCCTCTCACTCTCTCAATACCAATCGGAAAATTCATTTGAATTTCTGCGCACATAGCGCACCAATTCAGCCGGACGTGATAATCTCTATTCATAGTCTGGTAGGTAGTTGTACTAATATTTTTTCCTTTATTTGTTTCCCGTCGATCTTGTTTTCCGAGCTGAGCACCAATGCTACCGAAACCAGGGAGGTCGCTCCCACACCGGGACCCTACCTATCGACCTATCAACTCATAGACCGGGGACCAACGGCTTTACTTCCCTTCCAAAGGAAGGCATGATCAGAGATCGTATGCCTCAGAAAATCCGGGCAGCGCCGACTGGGATTGAACCCAGGCCTGCTGGGGGGAGAGGCAATCACGCTTACCACTACACCACCGGCGCCGCTATGTACTAATATTAGGACCGAATAGCAATTCTCTGAATGATTTCTGTTATAGGGTAAACGCTCCTATAGTTGCGGTACGTTAGAGGCGTTAGGTTCCTATAGTTGTGCATTGAATCTCCATGCACAAGTATAGGAACATAACGCTTCTAGCGTACCGCAACTATAGGAGCGTTTCCCCTACTTAGATATCAAATGCACTACATGTTACGAAAACATTGTTGTGCGATATATCATGACAGTTTTCTTTCTGGTTCATATGTATTGTGTTATGGAAATGAGTAGGCTCTGTCCACCGTCGGTTGGAATTTTAAGGATCTGTCACGATTTTTCGTTTTTTTCGCGTTAGTTATTTTCCGGTATTTAAAAACGTTATCAGTAGTGATTTTGGTACGGTTATTCAGTTGATGTAGTGTTTTGAAGGTGTTGATTTGGTCATTTGTTTGTTTAGTGGAAAATTGAGTAGTGATTTTTTTTCCACAGGAGCACGAAAACCGATTTTCGGGAGTCTTTCGGTTCTCGGCTTCCATTCTTTAAAACGGTTAAAGTTAGCACTTTGGTACCTTCTGATCCCTTAGTAAGATCCTAAACCAACATTTTGGGATTTATTTTCAAAGGATTTATTGTGTAGTTGGTGAAAAGAAAGAATATGAAAAATTCCACTGGACTTTGCACTAGATTTTTTTGGGTATCTTTCGATTTTCATTTTCCAACCTCTACAACGGTCAAAGTTAGCGCCTTGTTACTTTTTTTTTATTTATTTGTCGTCAACCATGTTTGTAGACCATTTTTGGTCCATTGATTATTACACTAGTTCACATGCAGCTTTATCTTAGTACAATATGTATGAGCACATAAATAGATTTAAATAAATGGTTCTCCTAGTTATCGCTACGCGCGGAAATATTGTTTTAGTTTGTTTTGGACATTATAGAGACCCTTGCGCTGAACTAGCCGGCTTGACGTGCCGCAAGGACTCAGTAAAGGTTCCTACTTGTAGAGACCTGAAGCTAAGTGCTCGTTCCACAGTGACAATATCACATCATTAAGTTTTCTCAAATTGTTGTACCAACCCTTCATTTCGATGACTGTATGATTGCCGAAATGATACGGAAATGGATTAGTGATGTGATATTGTTTATACAAGCTGAGCAGTGCGTGGGGTCCTAGGTGACATTGATCGAGTCTCTTTATCGATTTGCTCCTTTGTTCCTATTTCCGGATCTTAGGAACGGCCAGAGACACTATTCATCAAGGTGCGGTATCAGGGATGCCTGTTCTCTTTAAAAAATGCTTATAACCACATTTAGGTATATTTCCTCTCACTGAAATCACAGGTATTTGAACTCAAATATCATTGCAGTTGGTCCAGTTCAAAAAACTATGAAACATATTTCTGGATCTCAGGAATAGTCATAAGAACTATTCTTCAAGGGTTGGTTGGAAATGCTAACATGAAGCCTTAGTGTGATAATTTATTAGCTAGAGAATGATCTTTTTTAGAAGAGAGTAGGTGGATAGTTCCGTTAGAGTACGGCAGTATGAAAAAAGAATAGAAGTTGAAAATGAGCGAAGGGCCATTAATGTGACAGTTTTTTTTTTGAAGATAGACGCACATCTTTTGCGTCTTGAAGACTTGAAGTATGTCTCCAAGTCCACAGGCAAAAAATGTGCGTCCCTCTTTTGCTCATAAACTGACTGCGGTTGTGGAATAGTTCTAGCGACGTTTTCATCACTACCTAAAGCCCCACGTTGCGAGAGCATTTCCAGTCGATGGTGTGTTATAATGCAATTCTTCTTTACCCAACTATTGTGTTGCTCCTCTCGTCATAACCAACGTGATCATCTCAGAGAGAAAGCAGTAGGGTGGTTGTTGCGTGCTGTACCATCATCGGCATTGTTGACGGCTACTCCCGCCTTGAGTTGTTACATTCAAAGTGTTTTTATGTTACTTCATACGCGAAGTTAGCGATTTTCAGAGTTGGTTGGAAATGCTAACATGAAAATTTAGTGTGATAATTTATTAGCTAGAGAATGATCTACCAAAGAACTGCCAAAGAACTACAAATATGTTCAATTTTACGATTACAAAATATTAAATTTTTGGAAGCACCTGCCGGAAAGTGAGACACCAAGTTATATTGGTCAAAATAATAGCAGTTATTTTTGAAAATTTACGTGCTGCAAATATTTTAAATATTTTTACTATTATGTACATTCGTTAATTGGGTGGGGATTGTTAGAATTTTGAGAAATGTAAAATTTAAAATCTCAAAATTAAGCTGAAACGAAAATTATTAGTGCTGCTATTATTTTGAACATTTTTACCTGTTGCCTCGCTTTCCGGCAGGTGCTTCCAAAAATTTAATATTTTGCAATCGTAAAATTCCGCAAGAGATTTTATTTTGCACTACGGT